TCCTCGTGTGACCAAGCCTTTCCAGGGAGAGGACATAGAGTGAAGGGTCTGACCTTTTGAATCCACCACCCATCTATTACCAAACAACGGTTGTCGTGCCACTTCTTCCCATCTGTTTGGCGGGCATTTGTCTGGGAGGGGGAGGCATCTCCATGTTCTAAGGAGGTTGGGCCAGAAGGGGTCCTTTCGCAGGTCAGACCTTGCTGCTCGTCTTGGGTGCTCTGGGGCACAAGCCTGTGGCTGTACTTTTGCTCTAGGGATTCGCCAATCTCGATTTTCTAACCACATCAGAGGGTCCTTAACGTCCGATGTCTGTGGGGCCAGACGGGCTATTTGTTCTAGGGCCAGGCTTTTCCACGGGATTTCTGGGTCAAAAAGCAGGCGTTTGAGCCATTGGAGTGCTAGCGCTTTGGTTTGGAGCAAGGGGTCAATGATACCCAGGCCCCCGCGTGTTTTGGGCTGGATGATGGAGTGCCATGCTACTCGGCTAATCACGTTCTGTTTCTCGTGGTCACCTCTCTATAAGAAGGCAGCAATCTGCCGTTTCAGGGGCTGTAAGTCGTTCTTATCCAGAGCCCAGATTGCCGATTTATACCACAAAGCGGCCAACACCACGTTATTGACAATCAAGGAGCGTCCGAACAGGAAAGTATGTTTGTCCTTCCAAAGTGTCATTTTTGCGAAGAGCGGGCCGGTGATCCATTCGTTGTTGGAAGGTGGCCTGCCTTCTGCTGATAAGGAGATCCCCAGCACTCTGATGGGCGCTTCCTGTGGTAGCCAGTTGAGTGTGGGTTGTTCTGGTGGTCTCGCCCCTTGGTGGTGAGTCCACCATCCTTGGGTTTTGTTTCCCCAGTTGATTCTCATGTCTGAATATTGTGAGAAGCGGTCCATCATGATTTTAACTTCTTCCAAAGATTCTCTTGATGCCTCCACCATAAGGGTTAGATCGTCGGCAAAAAGTGAGCATACCGGAACGACCTTCTGGGGAATTGCGGAGATTTGGATTCTTTTTATATCCTTGTGTGTTCTCATTCCGATAGCTCCTTTCTACTGGTGGGGAGCTGCACCTGCTCGAACCCGGGTCCAATGTCCCTTCCAATGTCTAAATCATCAAGTAACTTCTCAAAGTTCAGAAACTCTCTAAGCCTAACAGCAAAAAAGGAAGTTAAAAAAAAAAAAAGAAAAAAAAAAAAGAAGTTCAACCACTTCACCCTAAGGCGGAGCTTCAAAAAAAAAAAAAA